GCGCACCGCCTGTCGGAACATCTTATAATCCACTAACTACATCCTCATCAACGTGTCCACCTCCATCGACCGTGGGAGGGCTCTATCTACGTCTGTTATTTGCCTATGGATCATACTAGGGAAAATGTGTATTGTCAGTGTGTAATCGAGATTGTATCCGTGAACCATGTGAACGATGTGTGGCTATTAACGCAAGGAAGCGACTAGGTTTACTAAAACGTGGTTAGCAATTTGGACAGAGTGGTGTAAGGGTTGTTCAGCCCTTCCAGCTTTCAACAGTCGAATTTGGCAAATGGGGCGCAATTATCAATTGTATCATCTGAAATTAAATTGCATCTCGCATGCAATGCATTGCCAAAAGGAAAAGGAATAAGAAAATAATGAGTGAACGGCCATACATGCCTCTTAATTTTTCCTGGAGTCGTGTACGGGTAAGATGCTGCAAAGGTGACGCTTGCTGCTCCAGAGTCCCTCACTCGTGTCCTGGTTCTCCAGGCCGAACACGGCGAGAGCCAGCGGCTAGCGGCCGGACAGGGCTGCGTTCAGCAAGCGGCCAGAAGATGGCGCACTGTGCGCCGCGCACCAGCAGTTCATGGCACTCAGCTCATGATTTACACCCTCATCTGCTCTGACTGCCGAGATCTAACACCAGTCTTCAGAAACGCGCTAGTATGGGCGGATCCAGCGTACCCGCGAGCGCGCGTGGCCCACTGCTACACATCTGCCCGGTGTTTCGGCAATGTCAGATTCCGTTCTCTCCTCCGCCGTACGATGATGGTTTCGTGTCGCCGAAATACTCAACAGCTGAGATTTGAGAACGAGGACAACTGGTGTAGAGCAGCTTTTTCGCCAAAGGCAGAAAGTCACGAAGAAGTCACGCTCCCCATGCTAATGAAACGGAGGGAATGCGGCAGGGCAGCATCGGCCTTGAGAGACTAGGCTCGGCTGCAGGAGCAGTGGTGGCAGAATAATTACTTGCAGCTACCTGATGCTAATTTCTTTTTTTGCGGTGCCTCAGCTGAGGGCCAGTTGCCGTTCCCCAGTGTTGCTTATAAAATATTTTGGCAAATTCTGTCCTTCCGGTTAAATCGTGTACTCTTTATAAGATTGCATTGCACAGTTCTGCAACAGCTGGTTGTCACGCTGGTATGATAGCCGTAAGGCCTAAGAATTGTGCGGGAGGAAAAAACGCAATCGCTCCAGTCCTATTTATATTAAGGTTTATTAAGCCATGCTGCTGTGTTGTGCATACCGTTTACGGACAGCTGTCTGACTATACCATGATGTTTGGTGACATCCCTTACTTCACGGGCTGTTCCACGTTTGAACATGTTGAGACAAGCACCAGGTCTGAACGATAAAGCTCACTTGTAAAACACCAGATATTGGCGTATTTTAAGTGTACAAATGTTCTTAACAAGATAACACCTATAAGTTTATGTGCTTTTCAAAACGTCATCGCTTTGCTACGTCAGGATCGCTTTTATAACGTCAGATACGCCGCCAGACTCTCCGTCTCGGAGTTCCCCGCTGTTAGGACGGGCTTGTTGTTCTTGGCGTAACCCACTTGTGGTACGTCTACGCGCTGCAAGGTGGTGGTTTAAATTGTGCGTGTTTTGGCTTTTCTCATCGTGTTCTTCTATGTTTTCCCATGATGGCATGTCTTTTCACTTGCTTTTGGATTTTGGGTTGCGGTGTTTTTCTTATGTTATCGATTCTTGGCCTCATTTCCGTCATATTTAGCGGTTGCCAAATAGCTGTGTTATTTATGACAAAAAGCGGATCGTGATTGAACATCCCTTCTGTAACCCCCTTCCCCGCTTTATCCTGCATCTTCGCGACGCCCAGTTTGTCGTGAGCAGATGGCATGCGCGAGCAATGAGCGGGCCCCAAGTACCCCTTCTTGGGGACCCCGACCGAACGTCAAGCTCAAGCTTCGTAAAGGCGGCCCTGTGCAGGCTAAGGTCGGCGGATGGACCCCAAGGTGCATGTAGTCTGTCCCACCGTTTCCCACTCTGCTTCCTCCCAAAGTCCTGAAATGGTCATGACTGGCCTAAAGGGCTTAAATTCGAACAACGTAAATGCAGTCGTGACACGAAATCAGCAACACATTCTAAATGTTAGCCAATTGCCGTCCATTCCTCTGGGGACACTTGGTGCTGCATCACTGCAAACGTGATTTGCTACGTGATCATATATGTATTGACCACGAGCGCAATAAAGCCATTGAGATGGATATTCGCGTGACGTCTCTATGGCGCCAGGTCTCATGTCTGGGTGAGGTTGAAATAGGCGGCGCATAAAGGCTACAAAGTTTGCGTGCATCAAGCTCAGAAACAGGAGAATTATAAGTCATACTATAGATGTGAACTGCAGGGGAATCATCGCGAAAATAAGTTTTTCAGTTATAAACTTCATACTAATGCGGACGAGAACTTTTATCGATTTTGACCGTGCTGGCATTTACCATTAGCAGTCGTAAGTTACCTTTACCAAGCATGGCTCGCCTAGCCAATCATTCCTGTCTTTGGGATTGTAACGGGAATGGTTCATGTGTGTGGGTAACAGAAGTAAAGGATTGATGTCTCAGGACTGTACTGCAAGCTATCATCCATTTGCCTGGGCGATCCGAAGAACAGGAATTGAAGACCTGGATGTATTCGGATCATCGACGACAAAGATAAGGTGACTGCGAGAGTTTATAAACATGTTTGCAAGAAATGACTGAGCAAATGGCGGAAAGTGATTTAAAAGTTAAGCGGCTCAGAGAGACCTAGTTTAGTGTATTGGGTCGTAGGGATTCATGACTAGCGCCTGGTTGTATTCAGGGTAGACTGAGATTTAAAGAAAATGCAGGAAGTTAAGTTGGAAAATATTCTGACATTATTGACGCCGCGATAAGAGGAAGCGATTGAGGGCTTGGCTTGGTGGCGTTCCTGGGCACTGAGCTTGTCTCCTTGCGTGCCCTCCATTCAGTGAAGTTCGTCTAGAGCTGAGAAGTAATCTCATTGCAGGTTATGGGCATTAAATGTGGTGTTAAGTTGCTCGTTTGCAAGAGATGAATCTCGAATAAAGCCTAGCATCACGTCATGCATTGCTCCTTCCGGTGTTTTCGATACCTTGATTTGGCATCACCTCCATATTGCAGCTAAAGAGAGCAATGTCAGAACCATTCGGCTGGAGCGAGCTAGATTGCTTGTTTTTCAGCTTTGTATCGACTCCACATATCTCAATGTGAAGGTGATAAATTGACATCACGGACGATAACACGTCTTTCCTTGTCGGCATTGCCCAATTCTCCCGAATGTGCTGTTCGGATTGCAGTGGAGCAGGAAAATCATGCCTTATCAACCAGACTGTGTGCAAAATGTTTCACATGGTAGACAGCAAAACATTTGACGACATCGGAATGCCTTGTTGCTGAGAACAGCAAGAAGATGCTGTCAGTTGTTGCAAATAGCTAACTTGTAGATAGTGTGGCGGCTGATGCGGGCTAGGGCCGGGACAGGCTGTTGAGAGTTGAGGTTCAAGAGTTTGTGGCTCAGATTCAGAGTTGCTGGCACCAGAGCGGAGCGATCATTGGTCGGTCATGCATACTCGCTCGAATACGTCACATTGAGTGGATGGATATTCCTGACTTGTCAAGTGCGGTCAAAAGCGTGAAGCGCTTCTGCAAGCACTGTGAAAGGCCTTAGTACCCCACAATCGCCTGCGTTCTAGGCACACAAAGGACCGCATGCCTGTTCCAGGTGAAGCAATGTACTCGAAAACATTAAAGCCATAGGGTGAACGGACAAAACAGTATACCAACTCATAACACACAATGGCATGGTCGCATCACAAAGAGCAGATGGACTTCTAAAACAGAACAATAGCGTTGATAAGCATCGAACAGTAAAACAATCGCTGAAAAACTTGCAGGGCGCAGCGGCGTATACGCGACGAGATATGGTTATGCAGTCAGCCGCCGCGCACATAGACGGAGATACGTGTGCAATGTTGCATGCTTATATGGGCAGCATGGTCAGCCCTCGCTGCAGTCGCGCCAGCCCGACGTAAATAAGGAGAATCCGGGCCAATCGTACATTGGCTTTCTAATCCTTCCCCTCTTCATAATTTAAGCTTCTGCGCAACTACGCTCAGACAGATAAGAGCAGCTCGTGCTCAGCATATTGTAAAACATGACTGGCTTAGCCAGCATTAAGGCGCAAATAGTGCAGTTTCTAGAACGCATTTTAAAGTGCCGTGCTTATGTACACACATGAGCCACCCCAGCCTGCAACATCACGCACCCGCCTCCCGTTTGTCATACAAAGACACGCTGGAGGTCGACGGAATACCGGCTCATCGAGAGCTTAAGCTGAGACCTTCTCATACAGACGCGCTGTCAGCCAGTCAGAACACTACGCAGAGACACTCAGCCTCACTGCGCGTCGGCGACTGGCGCTGGCACCACACTCAGCAGCCTCGGCTGCTGTGACGCCTCCACCAGCTGCAGGATCGACTTGCTGCTGAACTGGCAGGTCGAGTAGAGCTCGGCGCACGTCTCGGGGTCGCTCTTGGAGCCGATGTAGGCGGCGTAGTTGTACCGGCCCCGTGCCGTGTCCAGGGCGGAGGTGGGAACAGGTGCCGGATTCGAGCTGTCGGCAGGCGGCATAGTTTGTTTGGGCTATACCAAACCTTTTGAGGTTTTATTCGGGGAGTCCGGATATTGGGTAAGAAATCAGGTGCTCTGGACGTTAAGGGGATTTTGTTTCCTGGTGCGATTAGTCCGGTCTAGTCTTGCAGCAGGCAGCTATTGGTGTGGCCAATTTTATGAGATATTTGTACTTGCGAAACAGAAATGACGCGCCATCAAGAGAGGAGAGCACCGCGTATTACGTTTGCTTAGGGACACTTTTTGAAGCAAAGTGTGCCGCGGTTCATGGCCGGCTACCAACTAGTTGCTTGTTTCAAACGGAGGTCATAGATGATGCGTCAGCTCACCCGAACAGGGCTGATGATCAGCTTGCCGAAGTCGTCGACGTCATCCCCCAGGGCCGCCTGGGCCTCCAGCTCACAGACTACGCGCATGCCGCACTGGTCCTTGTCCTGACCCATAATCTTCTCGAAGTCCTGCTCCACCTCGCCAGTGCCAGTAGTTGAGCGGCGGCGGCGCTGCGGCAGACGGCAGCGCCACCAGGCGGGCGCGTTTCCAGCGACGCCACACTGGCAGATACGAAAAACACAGCTCGTGGGGCTGAGCTGCTGTGCCCGCTTTATTCGGTACTCAGAGGCGAAAACTATGAATAATTATTTTGGGAATCACGCAATATTCCCGTGTTAATGCATGCAGGATCACTACACCGAAAGTGTATAAGTGTCGCATGGGAGGGGCTCGTTCCCCGAAAAAAATTGACGATTTCCATCCATGACAACAATGCAGTACTGCGACGTGTCTAAACCTGATCCGTGGCACTGGGTGGGTAAAGATAACAAGTCAAGCTCTCGTAGGCCTTCAAGACATTTTCGCTATCAAGATAACCCACCTCAAATGTACCCAGATTGCGTTTTCGCAGATAGTCACAGAACTGAGTAGCATCATATTAACAAGTTGTGACTGAAAAATGCCTTACTCCATTTGCTGACCATATTGATATGACGCTGCAACTTCACCACACATGAGATAATTGAATAGCTAATGACGTTTCATGGAGCTGCACCGACCACAAACCAAGCACGCTGTCTTTCAGCAAACAAAATAACACAAAACTTAGTACAATGGTGAAGGGGTTCTGCGACGGGATGCGAATGGAGCTTACGTAGTACTGGGGCTGGTAATAGCCAGGGGAGTATCCGTTGTATCCCACCGTATCCGCCATTGTAATATCCTCCGTAGTACGGAGCGTACCGGTACCTGTTCCTCCTCCGACTCTGTGAAGAAGTCCATATCCATAAATGCACACCATTCTGAAGACCATACTTGCACGCGAATTTCTTCGCTCTATAGAAAGACGACGACGGTTGATACTAAGATGGAGGCAAAGCAGCGAATCTTCTTCAAGGGTATGTTTCACATTTGAAGATAATGAACCGAGCATTATATATGATTAAGTAAGTTCACTCAACACTTTGGTACACTTTAAGCAGAAATGGTTCCTCTTGGCAACACAACTTCTGTTCATTTAATACGTTCCTCAAAACGTTGTTGTATGATCACGTCATGGTACCCTTCATAATTGAGCAAGTGCCAACTGACGGCCGTTTCATCTGGAAATTGTGCTCACGAACGCCAGATATAAACGACTGGGCAATTATATTTTCATTGACCTTGATATGGTTTATGGAATGACAAATTTAAATGGCGTTATTATGACTGCATGGAAGCCTGGGGAGACTTTGGAAAAGTCAACCCGAAAAAGTCCTCACGTTTTCGCGAGTGTGTAGCCCAGAAACTGGAGGATTTAGGTCTTAGGAGGGACAGAGCTGTGAACTGCACAGAATGATCTTAAATAGCGCCATTTCAGTTCAAAACCCCATACACATATGGAACACTCCCCTTAACTTAGCATAATTTGAGCTCGGAGAATATGCGCAGAAGTACCTGTGAAAGCGCTCAAATGTGTAATAAGATGTCTGGTGGCATCGATGAACATTGGGAAACGCGAACACTGAAACCATTATGTCAAGAACCAGGCAACAGTGTGATGTCACTATCGAGGTATTGTTCGGTTGTTGTTGCAACGTTTTTTGGTTAACACGTCCAATCCACCAAGACTATACACATCAGCGATAAAATCATACGTTTTATCTTGAAACAATTTCATGTTGCGGCAGCAACAAGCACTCCCGTCTGGTGCTGTTCTCTGCCGGCGACGTCAGGCCTCTCTTCTGGTGCTGCTCCATTGCCGGCGGCGTCGAGCCTCTCACCTGATGCTGTTTGATGGCCAGCGCGCCAAGGCCGACCACAGCGGTGCCGGCCAACGCCAGCGTCGCTCCGTTCACCACGCCCTGGGTGTAGGCGTCCTGAGACGCCGCCCAGCCCAGCGCGCACGCCACCACCGCCAGATGCAACAGCTTCATCCTGCGGCGCGGGAGGGAGGCCGTGTTGGTTCCGTGCGATCGGCTGGGGGTGCGCTGATGGCCCGACCGCGCGCTCGGGGACGCTGAGGACTACCTGTGGCCCTAGCTGCACAACTCGGGAACACCGAGGACTACCTGTGACCACAGCTGCCCAGCTTGGGAACACCGAGGACTACCTGTGGCCCCAGCTGCACAGCTCGGGAGCACCGAGGACTTCCTGTGGCCCCATCCGCACGGCTTAGGTACACCGAGGACTACCAGTGGGTTTAACCGCGCGGCTCGGGGCACCGAGGACTACCTGTGGCCTAAACTGCGTGGCCTCGGGGGCACCGAGGGCTACCTGTGCCCCCCCCCCCCCCCCCGGCCGCATGCATGTATCCGAGCAATCAAGGTGTTTTCCTTGGGTGCATCTACCGACGGATCTTGTTGTGGTGCGTGCAGCTAGGGTATGGGACGGCATCTTGCTGTATTCACAGGGTGGGCCGCGAACAGCAACTCGTGACCCCCAGTGACCCCAGAGTGACCCCAGCACTTGTGACCCCAGAACTCGTGACCCCCAGCGTATGGGCGTCCCGGAAAATGCTGGCTGTCACAAAGGCCCTCTGTTCGTGACCAACAGCCCGTGGATCACTCCCTAGGTGACGGAGTGGAGCTGCTTTGCCGAGTGCCCTTTCTGCCCTGGCCTTGACCCGGTGTTCTTATAAAACCAGCGGTCAGGGGAGTGTAGTTGTTCGGGGAATTATAAACAGATAGTTCGTGCATGTGACTGCTGAATGCGTGATGGCCATCTGCGATCTCCAAAACAAAAATGTCATATTGCGCATTGGTATCCTACCCATTCCTACGCACAATTGCATCTTTTTCTGTTTTCTTTTTTTAATCCGCAATATGCCAGTCGACGGATGTACCTAAAACATATGTATACTGTTCAACGTTCGGTAGTGGTCATCTTAAGCAGTATGATGTTTTCGAGGTCCGGATTGTTTTCAATAATTTTGCCTCAAGCACCAGCAGATGGTTACGTTGTTGCATTTTATGTGTGACCGTAGATAAGCCAGAATATGGTCTCACCAAATACCGTGTACAGATAGAAGTCAATCCATTTCTTCCTCTTTCTTCCAGGTAGCGACAACCGAATGAATGCCAGGTTTCTTCACCAGGACTGTACATTCTTGCCCCGTTTCCCCCCCCCCCGCGCCATTTCCGCCGCCTCTGACAGCACGTACGCAATGCACGTTATTGCAACATTGCTCTTCACTGAGCGGTCTTTGCAGTTGATATGCCCCCCCCCCCCCCCCCTCTCCCGTGCGTCAACTGTGCCAAAGGCTGGTACAAGCGCAAGCGGAACACATCAACCTGCAAACGAACTTGACCACCCCGGGCTTGTGGACGGGCAGGGAAGGTGGGCGGACGATTGTCCCGGCAGGTGATGGAGTCACGTACTTTGGAAAATATTGATGCAATTTTACTATACAATAAATCACGGTACCGGACAGACCAAATCCCAGCGTTTATATTGAAGCTATCATGACTGCGAGCATACTGATGGCCTTGATCATTAAACGCGGGCCGTTCCAACCGTTGTCTTTAAGCCCAATAGTTAAGGGCCAAGCCGTTTTGGAGGCTGGTGCAGTCGTTTTGTGCACGAGATCCTCGATCACTGCGACTGGGGCAAGCGACTGCTGCGACGTGCTGCCGTTGGTGAACGATCAAGAGATGCCCATCAAGCATTGCGACAATACAGGTTGACGGTACAGGAGACTGGACACTTTTCACAACAGGCGAGTTCTGACATGGCCATCATTGATATGCTGCTGTGCAATCGTATGTCTGCCCCGGGCGGCAAAGCCGTGCCTTGTTTAGGGGAATACATGTGCTTCATGATATCAACAGGACGGGTCTTGGTCCACAATTTTTCAACGTGATGTGTCTTTATGCTGACGACAACCGACTTCTGTATACCGAAAAATAAAATGTACTCATATATGATATACTCAATGTATAAAAGATGTAATATACAATATACTCAAACTCCATGAGATCCACTCAACACACACACGCACACACACACACACACACACACACACACACATATATATATATATATATATATATATATATATATATATATACCTATGCTTAATCGACGTTTAAGGGCAGCGCTTTTCACAATGCGGGGAGGGTGAACATGCTCGTGGTCATGAGTCATGATCTCGCAGGATATTCTAATAATTGTTTGATTCCTTCCTTTAACAGATCAACGCCCTGGCATAGTCAAGGTCGAATACTTCAGAGTAAGAAAAAATCATTCAATCAAAAAACGGAGCGTGATGTACCGGTATACCGATCCGGTACCTGATCGGTACCGGGTACCGATCAAGATTACAGCGCCTCTCAAAGCTGACCTAATGCGCCCATGGCACGAAGGTGTTTAACCGGACCGATGCACCTTATCCCTATGGCCTTATTCAGCACTTCACCTCAAGGCGAGTACAGTGGGGCACAGAGAGCGCGCGGCCCGCGCCACCTATGACCTGGTTCAATATCCGGAGAACGCATGCGCTGTAAGTCGATGACCTCCTGAAGGTCACTTGGCGGCCGGTGGGCAGCGAGCCGGGTCCGGCCCTAGTCACCAGAGTCGTGGCGCGTGACGCTGTGTGACGTCACCGGCGCTGGGTCTCGACACGGCCCGGTGAGGGTGACCGGTCCTCGGTGCGGGCGCCAAGGTCGAGCGGCCAGACCAGCAGCGGCCGCCGCCGCGTGTTGGGGACAGGTAATGGATCACTCGCCAGAGGCGGAGCTGGTGATCGGCTGTCGTGGCGAGCAAGTGACTCAGGCAGAATTGTGATATTTGGTGGAAATCCCACAGATCTGGTGTCGTTATGACATCTCTTGATGGAAGTGGGATGGGATTCGTGATCATCTGTATCAATCTGTCTGCATCATCTGTATCATCTGTATCAACCATCTGTACCACGTTTCCCTCCAGTTCTTAAGAGGATTCAAGACAACAGTGAGCTTCTTGCCCAAGATGTGATGTTGGGTAATGACGGGACCCAATCTGGAACCCACTCTATTACAGTGGTGATCTGTATTACCCACAGCAGCAACCAAGTTTGAAGGGTTATGGACAGCGCATATAGACAACAAAGACAGCCAGGGAATTCATGTCCACTGGATGCTAGTGTTATGCACTTGTTGGGAAAGCTCTCTAACCCATATTCGACACATCGAACAATCAGGGTCATATCCCACTGGCCAAGCTGTAGCCTGCGCTGACCGGTGGAGGACGAGGCACCCCGCCTGAGGCCGTACCACTGTTGGGCAGACGCCACTGGCGGCCTAACAACACCAGCAGCAAGCGGCAGGCGGCCCCATCCCGGCAGCTGCACCGCGGTCGGCTCGGACAGCATCGTCCGGCGAATCAGCAGTCCGCGACGGCCTGCGAACCGGCTCCGAACAGCGGCGCTCGGCTCCGGCAGCTCCAAGAGTGCAGAGTGGTGCCAACGCAGTGGCACTGGGCCAATCCGCCGCGCATGCACGGCGTGGGGACACCGCCGGCGAGCGGCCGGCTTTATCCGGTCTTTCTGCGACACGTCGTCCCACGCAGCAGCCCTTTTGCATCTGTTCGGCAGTGAGAAGGCCAGATCGCGTCGTGATTGGTTGCCTCACCAGATCGCGCTGTGGTGGGTTGCGTGATTGGTTTGCCGCTGTTGGGCAAGCAGGCTGACCGCCGACTGACCGCAAAACTGCGAAACAAGACGACTTTTGTTCTTGGTGACTCGGAATGGAAATATAGTTTTCATGGACATATTAAGGCTAGGTCTGTATGTTACCAGTATCTTGTGCATCGAGCTCCGTCCTGGCTGGTGTGAATATATTGTTTCAATAAATATTTGTGCGTTTGGTGTCTAAACATGGAAACATCGAGCTAAACCCTGGCTAACAGAAGTATCAGGGACGTGCCGGTGGGCTCAATTAGATTTAGTAGCATCGCGATAAGGCGGATCACGGCTCGATGATAAAACTGTTGTTCGTAGCCAGTATTAAGCCCCATAAGCGGAATTTCACGAAATCATTTATGTGGCCAAGAACTGATCTGCAGGAGTACTTCTTAACAGTGGTACTTTATTGCCCTTCAGTCGTTTTAAGGACCTTTTGGTGATTTTGGTTTCATGTGAAAGGTCGAAAAAGCTTAAAGATGAAGTAAAACTGAACGCAGCAACAGGCAAGTCTTTCGGTTGGAGCGAGTGCAGCGATATAATCAGTTAGACCTGCAATTAGCATTGCATGATGTTCAAAAATATCGTAGATTTCCCGCAGACCTTCACGATCAAAATCGATGCTCGCCGAAAGGGAACAAAACGGCAAATCAGTTGTCCAAGAGTTTTCACGATTCAACAATGCGAACCGCATCGCGATTGACGTCTGGGTTTGACACGAAACTTTCGATCCAAGCGCATAACACTTTCAAAAAGTTTGCAAGAAATAGGTGTGTTTGACTAGGCCCAGCTTAATCACTGTCAGTCAAGTGACGACTCGTTCCAAAAATGGTCACTACGACGCGTGGTTACGTGCTTGCAGTGGTTTAAAGATAGGATGGGATTGGGACGCGGATTTAGAATCAATCCATGAACTACTATTGACTGCGTCGGGGCGTTTTTCAAAATACCGGGGCCGGGATTCGATTGGATTCGCGATTCACTGGCACCAGTGAGTAAGAACAGTGAGTGAGTAATTCATTGAGGAAGGTACAAAGTAGAAATTTATGTTTTCATCTTCTGGAAAAGGCCGAAATATGGGAGCCTGATTTTTTGGAGGGATCTTCATGCAAAGATGGGATGGGTCTGCTCATACTGGGAGGTGGAGCTGAGCTGTAAGACCAGGCGCACCAAGGTAAGATGCATGGGTTGGATTGGTCCGAATTCCGGAACTTCAACCGATCAACAGTTTTACTCATCAGCTCTACTCAGCCGTCCTAAATCACGTTGTCGTCACATTTTTAATGGCTTTTGAACTTGTAAACCCCACCTGGATAGCATCAAGCATAAGAGCATTACCATGTGTCTGTGCCAACCATGAATCCTGAATTTCTTGTCTGATTCTGTATTACTATTACTATCGTGGTCCTGGCGGCGACCTAACGTTGCCTGAGTTGCTTTTATTGAGAAGATGCACACATGTTCACAAGGTCGCAATAGCCCTCCCACTAACGCCAGCCCAACAATGACACCACTCCCGTGCACAGCGCGTCCCAAGAGTCACACGTGACTGCGTCACACGCCTGTGGCAATCCGTGACACGCGCCGTGTGCAGGTGCGGCATTGCGGTCGCGGCGGTCGGCCTGGTTTTGGTTTATGACACGACTCGGGAACCACAACCGATCGAGTCACGCTTCATTCTGAGTCAGTTGTTACTGGCGCGCCTCCCCACTGAAGGGGGATTGTCGCCCCACGATGTGTTTTAAATCGATAAAGATTGTAGGTGTTTTTGACACGACGTGATTTAAGAGGCAGATGCGACAGCCGCGGAAGTTATTTGAGCGCAGCCATTGGGTTTGATTTAGACTGAATTGATGCACAACCTGCCAGAGTTTTAAATCGATGAGGCGTATCTTTAAATCTTACACATGTTATCATACTCGCCACTGGTGATTCGGAATCTTCCAACTCTGATTAGCAAATTCAAACGATTCCTTAAACGATTGCATGACTTCTGGCACGATAACGAATGGCATCGCTTATGGAACTCAATGCCTGCAACGTCGCGTAACCTGTTTATGACCAGCTGGGCTGAGCTGGTATAATGGACTGAGCAAACCGCGGGCTGGCGCCGTATAATTCGCCACACCCCGTGTGCAACACAGTCGTGAAGTCTGCAAAACCAGGATCACGAAGGTGGACTGATGCGCTGTGGCATGCAAGCAGTATGACGTAACAGGATGACAAGCTGTAAAAATTGAAAACCATGAGGATTAGAATTTTCCTCTCTCTATATATGCATAATATATATATATATATATATATATATATATATATATATATAATATATATATATATATATATATATAAAGATATATATATATATTAATAATATAAGATATGTATATATATATATATATATATACATATACGTATATATAGCTATCTATCTTTATATATATATATATATATATATAAAGATAGATAGCTATATATACGTATATGTATATATATATATACATATCTTTATATACATATATATATATGTATATATATATATATATATATCTATATATATATGAATGCCTAAAATAGCATGCTTTGCAGAGTTTTGGTGCCCGTGATGCCACCAACCGGCGCCCATCCGGAGGGGGGGTGGAAGGAAGTAGCTTCTGTCGCTTCGATGCAAACATCTCTCAGACAAGCTAAATGATCGGGCTGGTTCTATTAATCGATTGCCGAAAGTCTGTTATCGGCGACGACATGCACCAATTCTGCAGATGTTGACAATGAGGCAGCAGGGGTCGTTCCAAGGCAAAGCATTCCTAGGACCATGGCCCAAAGTTTTCAATCCTGGTAATTGATACTAGGCCGGCTATGAATACTATCGTTGGGCAGCTGCTAGCTTTAGTAGTTACAAATCTGTTAAACAGCTCCTGATGTTTAGTCATTTAGCACTAGTAGCTGTGGCAGCTATATCAGCTGTATCATCGTACATGAGTTCAAATATTGCGGAGGCGGATACGTCAAGCCATAGGGTGGTACTAGCTATAGCCATATCGGAAATAACTACCATGGTGGTTATTAGTGCTCATCTCAACACGGCGGCAGACATGCATTTTACCTAAACAGCTTGTGTACCCAGCTTCCGCCGCAGATCCAGGTTATTGATAGAAGTGTTCACAAATATCTCACGACGGGAGGGAGTAAAACGCTGCTTTTTGCGTTTCAGTGCTTCGTTTATGCCAAATATTTTGTTTTGCCCCTCAATATTCTGTATCTGCCACTCCAAAACGGCTTGCATTATGCCTTTGGATTTACTATAAGCAGCGTCAAGGTACATTAACAATGCTACTGATTTTACTGTTGTATTTTGGTGAAGCAGTGAGTCAATATTTACCCTGCGTTTTACCAGTGTGGCACGTCATTGTTTTTGTTTTGTTTGCGTGGTGCAAATAGCGCAGTTAGTGCAAAACATATACACTCGCGTGAGACGTCGCTTGTCAGGAGGGGCTCACTTCGGCATCAAACAATTCCCGTGAATTTCAAGCAAAGTTCGGTACATGACAATAAGGTGTGCTTCTAATAATTAACTAGTAAGCATCAGCGAGAGTTATGTGATAATCTAGAACTGCACATTGTTCAGCATTGCGATTGGTCGTGTAGGCCGACTAAGCCGTAATGACACGGAACTTTATCTGATGATCTGTAAAGTAAATCGCGATGCCTATTTGCTAGCGGTCTGGGCTGTTTTGTCGTACAATTAATTGTCCTGCCGATTGTTAAAAAATTTGGAGGTGATGAAGCTTTCAGATATGTAGCTTTGAATGGACTTGGTTCCATCCAGAGCAAACGCATAAACAAATACATATCGTACCAGTTTGCATAGAATGATCATGAAGTTGTCTTTGCCCATCGACAACGAAACAAGAGACGCATCTTAAACGGGCTCCCAAATAACGTCTCAAACTTATCGCAGGCCTGAGAGGTAAACTCACTCGTACGTTGATCGTAACCGGCTGAAACCGACAGCGACCACACATAAACCATCCATCGCGACCTTGACCATGGCGTGCGTACACGCTGAGCTCCTGCCTCAACACCCGCCTGTCACAGACCTGAACGTCGACCGCCCGACCGCAAACGCGCCGACCGACAATCCAGCACGGGCCCGCTGAGCGGCTCCCACCCTGCCGCCAGCCTCTCACCTGCACTGAGCGCGTCAACCTGTAGTCGTCACCGCACCACACCTCCGAAAACAAGAGTGACTGCATCTGGGTCAGCAGCGCGCTTATATGCGCGGCGCGCCGTCGGGCCTTGGCGGTGACGCCGGAGGTCACGGGACGGACCCGCACCGGCGCGGAACACGGTCGGCTACTCCGGATCGGATCGCCGGTACCGCGGCGCCGACGAGTCAGTGAACTGTTGACACACCGTCGAGGTCAAGGTGCCGCCACTCTCACTCGCCGCGGAGTAGTGGCCTGCTGCGGCAGGGCCGCGTAGCTCGCGCGGCTGGCGGCGCGCGGCCGCGGGGCGATGGCGAGGTGGCGGCCTTCGGGTTTCCCCGTATTCGAGTCCGGTAGGGTCCGGTCTGGGTCCGGTCTGGGTCAGGTGGAGCTGGCCACGGTCAGGAACATCCGGTCTTGCGTGAGTGTTTTTTCCTCTCGCTACGCTAAGAGCTTGCGTGGTTTTACGCAATGAGCTCGGTATAATGCACTCGTTACCGGGACAAAGTTGATAATGCAACAGATCCTGGTGCGACTTCGGGTGTTGTCAGGAGCGTCAGAGGACACGATTAAATGAGCTCCAATCACATTAATATACACACAAGTGAGTCACTTTCGCCGCATGGATTGGATTCGGTCAAGTGATATACCAGCTAGATGTCACGGTAAAAAATGTGGGATCGGTATGATATGGCAGCGGTAAGGGCTTTGTTTCAAGCGTGCAAGCCGTTGTAAACGAGCGTTTTTACAACATCATAACATTTCATAAATTGCTGGCTCTGTGAAAACAAAAATGGGCTTGAACTGCCAAGCTTGAAGCTTTTCGCGCGCCTAAACATTCAAAGTATTGAATAAATGACACCATTGAACTTGGCTTAAATGGGAGCATCAGGCTAGACCTGAGCACCCCAATTTTTTCCTCAAAAGCGTTATTCTCAGGCATACTGAGGGGCAGTCCCAAGTTATTTGAGCTATACGAGAGCGAATGACACTGACAAGACAAGGTGGGGTCAATGCGAACGTCACCTCGCCATATCAATGGCTCACATTACGTTCGTGACCTTTCTGAGGCCTACCAATGTTGCTGATCTGAGGTTTGTTTCGGATGACATGTTTTGACGTTCGGTAGATTGCAGGTCATTGTGAGGCGTTGCTTTCCAGTCTGGTATCCGTTCTGTGCGATTGCACTTCCTTGTGTTCATTTAGCAGCCACCAGAGGCTCTAAATATACTACTCTCGCAACCAAATGTCGTAACAGCAAACAACGCACTGCATATTTATTATTTCCGGACTGTTTTGGCTAACCGAACTCACTGTAATCGTTCGCTGTGATCGTCATACACCATGCAACGAAGTGAGTAACACACTGAAGAGATTGTCAGGGAAAACCGGCCTATAAAGACTACAACCGAGAACTAGGTGCAGACATATGATCTGTTCTTTAATCGGTCAAATTTGACGCTTGTTAAGTACTATGATCTCCCCATTTGGACCAAACAGGCCTGGGCCATAAAGGGTAGATCGGTGGGTGCCCACAATGCGTCGAGAACGAAACAGATGCGCCATGTTGGCCCACCATCGCGTAGAGGCATGGTCTTCGTCACGCAGGCTTATAGCAATAAACGACTCTAGGAAGTTCGAGCAGCTAAACAATCTAGAAATTATTATAAACGCTATATGTTAGCCTGTCATATTTTTGGTACAATGTAGCGACCTCAGAGCCGCTGGTGGCCATGCAAGGAACACCAGTGGGTGCAAATGGTGAAAAATGCATACCGGACTCAAAATCACCGTCTCAAAATGACTGGATAATAGTCTCACGTCATCAAAGGTCAGCTTAGTCCAGCTGAGGCCAGTAGCCTGTTAAGAGCTCAGAAAGGTCACGAATGTAGCGTAAAACGCTTGTATGGTCCGTCGTTACCTATTTTCAGCTAAACTTACGTCTTGAGTGTCATTTTATCTCGTACATTTGTGGCTTTTCGTCGCCCGGTCATGACTGACCTTTAAGGCCGGGTCACACCAGGTCAGGTTAGGTTGAATTGAAACTTTGTAGCCATGGAGCGGGAATTCAATGCATCGTGTGGACTAAATTTCACCGGCTTGAATAAAACGGGCTCTCATATTCCGTCAATCATGGTATATGGTCACAGAGCATCTGTGCACAAGACGGCAAGGCTCTGTTAATTACTAACGTTAATCAATAGAGCCACGACCACGGCTGCCTCAGTTCCCTGGGGAAAAGATGCTGGACACGTAATCCGGCGGCACTGGGTATAAGTCCCAGAGCGGGCGCATTGTTTGCCCCACTGAAATGAAAAGGTCAGCTGGCAACTGGCCTACGGGGATCAACCCTGGCCCTCGGCGGCCGTGTCACAGCACTTTGCGGCAGGTAACCTCCGCCCCCCCCCCCCCCCACACACACATTCCTGTCTGGCGCAAGGGCGGAGGCAAAATTATCCGCTGAACTGGACTTGGGTGGGTGATGGCTGGGCTTGGGTGATGGTTTCAGGGTACACACGACAAGCTATGCTTAGCAGGTATTGTGAACCCAAAGTCATCCATGCGAACCATTCGGAATGCATTTTCTAAACAATAACAACATCCGAAGAAATTGTCTCGTACTTTTTCTCGCACATCCCTACAATTATTTGATCGTACGTACGACGAATTTACGTACGAAAAAATGAATTTTCGTACAACCCAGTGCAGTCAAGCACTGTAAAAACGCAAATTGCTCAATCTGGTCTCATTAAATACAAGGTTAAAGTGAAATTACGTAAAATTATTGCGTGGTATAGAAGCATTCGGAACACTTAGCTAATCAATGGGGGAAACTGCATCTTCCCGTGGCATTTTGCCACTGAGATGTGCACATCTGAACGATCCAAGGTCAGTGAAAACTTGTATCCAAATACGGCCTGGCACTCTAACCTCACAAGTCATCGGGAGCTTCAAATTTATGCGTGATGATCGTTTTCTTGGATTTATGCGATTTTTACATTTGAACAAAATCGAAATGGCGGGAGTCAAAAGTGCCGATTCATGTGCGGTTTAACGTGGAATGGCCTTATATTCTACATGGCCTTATATCGTCTGGTTAAACAGCTAATCACCTGTTCCTATAAGTTGCAAGGTTGTTGTTCCTATAAGTTGCAAGGTTGTAGTCTTCCCGGAAGCGTTAGGTGCATGGGTCAGGTCAGGTCAGGCCACCCATTCAACTATTGTCTCTTTAGATCTCGCAGGAAATTTTGCAACCCGCTTTGCAGCTCGCTTGTAAATCATTTATATGTGAGTAAATCGTTTGTAACTTGAAAGTATATTTGACTATCGAGTGGACGTGCTCCTAGTCTGCGATGTGATTACAAATAACTGATAATGACACATATGTCACCTGACATGATGACCTTTCGGCGATACGTCAAACTTGAAATCTTCCTTCCTTTCCTTCTCGTCATTGCCAGAAACCTTCCCGTTGCTGTTCACTGTTGTTGCCATTGCTCCATCCGTGTCATAGCTACGATGCAACCATACCGAAACTGAAATGTCCTAACGGGGGCAATGGTGCCCTTACAAGACACTCATTACAAAAGCAGCATGCTCTCAGTGGTTGAGGGTACGAATCTATGGCCTCCCGCAACCGGGTCAGATGTGGTTGCGAAAATTCATCCCGGGAGAATGTGGCTGAGCTTTTGGGCGGGGAGTGGACCAGGCTGGAGGCGGGGTCGCAGGGGACTACTGCAATTCGGGTGGAGCGACCCAGTAGGTGGAGCAATCTACGCATTGTTTGAAACTTCTCATTGGCTGGTGCTGACATTGCGAACTATCAAGGGCTGAGAACGGGGCGACTGTCGAAGAGGTTAGATCTGAAAGCGCGCCCTAGAGTCCACAGTGCAGGTTTGCAGAAGGTCTGTTCGCGGAATATGCGCTATGGAACTGTGAGTTCGCGAGGTGCTATGCGGAACATATCGCAAAGCTATGATTTGCTATGCGGCAAGGAACAAGGTGGTGAGGAAACCTGGAAGCAGGAACAATAACGGAGGTCTAGCGTGCCGCCGTCACGTACTGGTGTCGTGTTGCTCGTGATAACACCGCCCACGTCCACTGCCGTGCCAACTTTGGCCACTCCAGGTCAGCGGGAGATAGTGCCCGTGGGCCGGGCTCAGCGCCTCGTGGCGTCAGGCTGTTGCAAAAGGCTGCACGTCAGATGCGCCTTGGGCCGATTGTCCTCATCACAGCCGATGCGATAGCGTCCGTGTGGAAACGGCACGAGGCGGGACGAAAGCCAAGACGCGGGCGCCCGGCACGGAAAGGCACGAGCGGCTGTATGGGAGGCTTCAACCTCAGACCGCTGATCGGGGCGCGGGAGAAGGGCTCCCAGCTCTCGGGGTCGAGCCAGCAGAGGCGTCGTGCGGTTGCCCAAGCGGCACCAGGCGCCGCCCGCCCGTGAGGTAACTCGGCGCGCGCCGTCGCGTGCCCTCGCGGCCCGCCGGGGAGCAGCGCCGCCTACAAAGCTGACGGCTGCGAGAGTGACGTAACGGTTGACGTCAGCGCAGAGCGGCCGATGCTGACCGTTGGCTGGTGACGCGGCGAAACTGGCACACTGGTGGCCCGTGACGCGTTCCCACAGACGACACGCAGGTGTGGGGCGCGTGGTCTGAAGAAACGCGGGGTTATGGAGTGTCGGAATTGTCCAGAATGTGGAGAAACAACGACGCAATAGCAATACTTCATGGCGAGCTCAGAGGAGTTACGGTGCGTTCAAGTGCCGAATGGCAAAAAGTTCACTTGAAATCATAGACAATTTCTGGCGGTCGCTTGGCACATAGCCTGTGGCAAAGTTCTCCACTGGCATTGCTTTGGAATCATACGTCGCAGTTTTTGTTTGTTGGCAAAACAGAACTGGAATTAATGCTGTCGCGTCATAAACCAGACAGAGGACCCTTGTGAAGTGACGTGGCGTGGAATTTTTGTTGTCGGGCCGTCATCGAACAGCAAGAGAGGCCCGCCAGCATAGATTCCACACAGTGACACGTAGCCGTCAACCCCGTCCAGATGA